TCCCAAATGGTCAGCCCTAAACACATGTACACATGAGCACAGCTTAATGGATGTAGTAGGTTATAAATATATTTGTATATGTAACAATGATAATCAAAGAAGACATGAAATTGAGAGTTGGGGGGAGGGTGTGGGAACTGTTGAAGGGGAAGAGAGAAAGATAGAAATGATGTAAATCTAGTACTCATATATGAAATTCTCAAAAATTAAAAAAAATTGGGAGCTGATTGTAAGATAAGATATTGTGAGAGAATATCAGTATGGAGTGTAAGACTACAAAAAAGCAGGTCCACCTCATGTGTTTGCCTCTTCACCATTTGACTATCTTCCTGCCTTTCTCCCTTTGTAAGGCAGTCCAGGGTGCCTTCATGGGTGGTCCAGTAAATGGCAGCACCCACCTCAGAATTTAGCTTTCAAAATTGTGAGCTGGAAGAAAAATTTCTCCTTAAGAGTAGCAGCTTTAGATATGTTTAAAAAATAGCAATAGAAGATGAGCTAATATGATGCTCTTTTAAAAATATTCACTTCTAGCTGGGCATGGTGGTACACACCTTTAATCCCAGCACTTGGGAGGCAGAGGCAGGCAGATCTCTGTGAGTTCAAAGCCCCGACCAAAAAATTTTACTTCTATTTTTATTTATTATTTTTATTTTATGTATATGAGTGCATTGCCTGCATGTATGTAAGTGCACCCATGTCATGCAATTCCCCCTGAGGTTGGAAGAGGGCATTGGATTCCCCTGGAACTGGAGTTAGAGATGATTGTTAGCTGCCATCTGGGTGCTGAGAATCAAACCGGAGGCCTCTGTAAGAATAGCCAGTGCTCTCAACTGTTGAAACATCTTCTTGTCCCTTACTTTTATTTTAATGTGTGTGTGTGTGTGTGTGTGTGTGTGTGTGTGCGTGTGTGTGTGTGTGTGTCCACAGAAGCCAGAGAGGATCCTTTGGAGTTGGAGTTGCAGGTACTTGTGAGCAGCCCAATGTGGGTGCTGGAAACCCAAAACTCAGGTTCTCTGGAAGAGCAACAAGTGCTTTTAACCACTGAACCATCTCTTGAGCTTCTAATATAGTGCTTTTATAAGTTAGGCCTGTGAACCCTTGTTTGCCTCTTCTGTGATGTGAGGACACAGTGAGAAGGTACCATGTGAACCAGAGAGCAAATCCTCACTAGAGGTGAGATTAAATGTCTGACTTCCAGCCTCCAGATCAGGTGGCAATAAACTTCTTTTGTGTAAGCCACACAGTGCATGCACTTATGTGACAGCTTGAATGAACTAAGATACTGGACTTCTAGTGTCCAGCTCTACTTTTGGCTGCCTAGAGCATATGAGACCTTGGGAGACTCACTGAAAGATGGAACAGGGTTCAGTCACTCTGATTTAGGGAACCCTCTCAAAAGGCCATCCCTAAGGAAAGAGGGCCTAAGAAATCAGAAGGTTGTGAGAAAGTAGGAGAAACTGAGGTGAGGAAGAGGACTTGTCTCAGGGAGAATATGGAGGAAGGAGGGCATCCATTGGGGCTCATGTGTTCGTAGCTTCTTGGGGATTTTCTGTGTGTATAACCATAACAGATTTCTGGCAGGCTTGGTGGTACATATAATGCAGTAAATTCTCTATAAGTGTTGGATGAAAAGGGAAATGAAGAGAGGATGAAAGGTTTCCCTCACTGGGTGTGTCGACATCTCAGAGTTATGCCAACTATACTCAAACTAACACCTCTGACACAGGACACTACAGTTTTGTGCATTTGTCCTTTATCACAGAAAATCATATCTGAAAATTTTCATGAGTTTTATTAAAAGTAAACAAAGCCTAGGCTTGGTGGTGCATACCTGTAATTCCAGCACTTGGGAGGTAGAGGGAATAGAATAGAGAGTTTAAGTCCAGCCTGGGCTACATGGTAAGACACTGTCTTGAAAAAGAAAAACAGCTGAGAAATATAAGTCACTCAGATGCGCAATTGGTAAGTGGATAAAGTGGGGGTCGAAAACACATTGAATGCCACTCTACAATAAAAGAAAACAACTACGGCTTGAATCTCAAAACCTTTATGTGAGTGACAGAAGCCATCACAAAAGATTCCATTCATATCAGATTCAAGAACAGGTCTACAACATCAGAAAAAATGAGATGGTGGCTTTGAAGCAGGGTTCTGGGAATGACCGATGGCCAACGATATGGGGAAAGTCTCAGGAGCAAAACACCACCTAAAACCTGATGTAGTGGCAGCTGCATGCCTTAAAATTTACTCAGACTTATTGAGCCATACAAAAGATGAATTTAATTGTATTTAAGTTATTCCACACTGGGGATATAGCTCAGGGCAGAGAGATACTTGCTTTCACATGTGTGAGGCCCTAAGATCAATCTCTAGCTCCACAAGAAACAGTTCACACTCAAATTGTTTAAAAAAAAAAGATAATGGGGCTGGAGAGATGGCTTAGCAGTCAAGAGTACTGGCTACTCTTGCAGAGGACCCAGGTTTAATTCTCAGTATCTACATGGTGGCTAACAACTGTCCATAACTCTAGTTCCAAGGGATCTGACTTCCTCTTCTGGCCTCTGTGGGCATTGCATGACATGGGTGCACTTACATACATGCAGGCAATACACTCATTAAAAAAAAAAGATAACTATTAAAAGTCCACAAAATATCTTGGGCATCCTATTTGGAAATTTAGTGTGCATCTGCAGAATGGAAAACAGAGGTGTGCTTGCAGACGGAACTCAATAAATGCTTTATGAATGCTGTGGAAACAACCTTCATGGTCAGTGGTCACTAACAGGAGAACCTTCCCTGCCCTGTGTTTTATTCAACAGGGTCTTAAATTAACTTTGTCTTACTTGGTGGACAGAGTGGATGGTGTGAGAATTTTCATCCTTTATCTCTAGACTCACAAACTTGTGGTTGGGATTAAATTCAGTGACTGAAAGGGGGAATTTCTCTCTGGGAAAACTAGTGCTCCAGGAGGCCAAGCTTATCAGAAGTTGAGGTTAGGGGAAGTTCTGAGTCCATGGCTGAGGTACACACCCTCTTAATGACAGGGAAGAGACTTTTAGTGAACAAAGAGACTGATTAAGCAAATTGTGGTACTTTTGTAAAACGAGATAAGTTACAAAAGAGGGACTGGGGTGATGGGGTGGGAGGAAGAGAGGAATGTTTAGGAACAACAATGTGGTAGTGGGAAAATTAATCACATGGATGCCCTGGTGAGTGAGAGATGTTGAAGGGGTCATGACATTCAGGAGTACTATGAAAGGCAGGAAGATGCCAGTGGATGGGAACCTTCTTGATATGTCTGGATCTTCTGCCCCACCCGCAGTCCCACCTCCAAGACAGAGCTCATGGATGACCCTCTTCATGAATGTGCAATGCTCATGTCAGTGTGGCCTTCACCGTGTCAGTAGAGCAAACAGCACTGGCGTAATGGCAGAAGACAGGGAACCTGCTTGGGGCCTCTCCACACCTACTCTACCTGATGCATGGTTCAGGGCCAGGGTCTCGCACACATGCCTTGTCTTGCTTCTCACAAAAATTGATTCAATCAACTTATTTTGACAGAAGTAAGATAGGGTGCTCTATTTATTTATTTTGAGTCAATGTTTTGATATATAGTCAAGCTAGCCTGGGCCTGTGATCCTCCTGGCCAGCCTCCTTAGTGCTGGAGCTACAGGAGTATGGCACACTGTCATTTGAGGGTAGATTGCTTTCAATTGCCAATGATAGGTGGTATTCAGTCTACAGCCCTGTGATCCCCCTGGCCAGCCTCCTTAGTGCTGGAGCTACAGGAGTATGGCACACTGTCACTTGAGGGTAGATTGCTTTCAATTGCCAATGATAGGTGGTATTCAGTCTACAGGGACAATAGCTAAGGTCTGGGACCTTTATATATATTTTTTAAAATTTTTAAAAATGATTTATTTAATAACAACATACTTAGAAGAATTTTGACAGTAAGTGATCATAGTGGCTGAGGTTGGGGGGGTGTCTAAGTGCTTATAAGTGCTATGGTTTGAAAAGTTTGTTTACACCCCCCTCCCCGCCCATTTGTATGCACTAATCCAATTTCCATTGTGATGGTTTAAGAGAGATATGTTTGAGATAAGCCAAGTGATGAGGGTAAAACCCTCAGGAATGGATGTGGTACCTGCTATGACTTAAAATTAGCTAACACATTTTCCCCAAAAGTTCATGTGCCAGAAGCTTGGTCCCCAGTGTGGAATGGTGAGAGGTTGTGGAATCTCTATAAGGTGGGGAGGTAATAAGGTCTTGGGGCCACTGCTCCTGACAGAGATTAGTGTAGTTCCCATGGGACTCTTGAGTCAGATTGTTAAATAACAAAACCAACCCATATGCTTGCCCCTTTAGCCCTTGGCCATTTCCCCTCCTGCTTTCTGTTATGTTGTGAGGCAGTCCAGGTTGTCTTCATCAGTGACCTAACCGATGGTGGCACTCAAGCTTAGATTTTATGTCTTAAAACTATGTTGAAAGGAACTCTTCTATTTAAAAAAAATTAATTCATTTGTTTATTTTTTACATTTATTTATGTGTGTGTGTGTGTGTGTGTGTGTGTGTGTGTGTGTGTGTGTGTAGAGGTCAGAGGACACCTTGAGGAAGTCAGTTTTCTCCTTCTGCCATATGGGTCCCAGAGATTGAACTTGGGTGGTCAGGCTTGGTAGGTGGTATCATTACCTGTGGGCCCAGAAACCTTTCTTTGTAAGTAGCAGGCTCAGATATTTTGATATAAGAGTAAGGGTGGGCTAATACAGGGCTCTTAGAAACTCGGCCTGTGTGAATTTGTTTGCTGGTTTGTGGTGGGAAAGACACAGTGACAAACTTGCCACCTATAAGCTGGAGAGTAAGTCCTTGTTAGATATCCAATCAGGTGCCACCATGACCAGGACTTTCAGTTTCTAGAAGAGATAGCAATAAACTTCTGTTGTGTAGGACCTACCTAGCTGTGATAATTTTGCTATCGTTAACTGAATGAACTCTTGGGGTCTTCTAGGATTCAGTTTCTTTTATTGGTTTCTACATATTAGAATATTCAAGACTACAGGTACCTGCTGAAAAAGGGATTCAGCCACCCAGATTAGAAATTCTTTCCAAGGGACATCATTATGAATGGAGGGCCTCAGGAATTAGAGGGGAGGAGAGAAAGTAGGTGGAGGCGAGGTAAGAAATAGAGGAAGAGGCAGGGGTCTATGTAGTGAGGCATGGAGGAAGGTGCTGCCTATTGGGACTCAGCCATCCATTGCTTCCTGGATGTTTGATGTGTGTAATATGAGTGATCCCTGGCAGACATAGCAAGGAACATGAGGTGAGTTTTCATAATTTTTGGGTGCATGGACAAATAAAGAAGGATGAGTCATTATGTAAATGAGTGTACTCCCCCTGTCTCTTCTTAGGGTGTTTGGAAACCTCAGGATAACCACAACTGCACTCAGGACAAACCATGACCTGACTGACATAGGGCACTACAACTCCCCATGCCCGCCCTCAGCCCCCTTTAGCTCCTGCATCTTCTGGGGCAGGGTCTTGGTCCAGAATTGCATCCTGCAGGCCTTCAGGGCACCACCCACAGCTATCTGGATGTCCAGCTGCAGATATTGCTCATCCTGGTCAAACACAGGCCAGTGGGGCAGGCCTTCACCGTTTGGATTCCTGTGAACACGCCCTCCAGCAGGAGGAACAAAGGTTACACTGAGCTCTGCTGAACTTGGACCAGATCCCTTGACTTGGGTCATGTCAGTGGACAAAGCAGTCAGGGAATTGTGAGCACTCCGAGGCAGGGATACTGATACAGGAAAGGAAGAGTCCCACACAAGTGTCTGTTCATGTGGAACAAAGACATCTGTCCCGTTTCTCCCTCTTCTCAGATGCAGCCTCCACAGCACTATGGTTCACTTCTTCAGGTCACTGGGAAATGACCAGTGGTTGGCACCTACAAGGTGTCTCCTGTCTAAATGGGGGCTGAAGGTGGGGATGACTCTATCATGTGATGAAGAACCCATGCATGCTAATGAGGCAAGCACAGACAGAAGGATACCTGGGTAGTTACCTATTCTGGGGATGATGAGGGAGGAGCGTTCTCTTACCCATGCTGTGCAAAGTTGGCCCAGTATTTCATCATCCTCCTGCTCAGCAGCTCTTCTTCCTCAGTGAGGTCAACTATAAGTAGGAGTGGAAAAGCGTCCAGACCGCCTCTCCCCATGCTGCTTCTAACTCTTACTTTAAATCCTGATCCCAAGGGTGGCCTGATCTTGGGCCTAGGCTTGCTTCCTTCCATCTTCATCACCCAGGATTCACACCCTGCCCTTGCCAATTCTGTCCTCAGCATTCCAGTCTCCAATTCATATGCCTCCAGGCTCATCCCTGCCTCAGAATGTTCTCCTCTCTGGCTAGGAAGTTATCTGAGGAACAATCAAGCTTTTAGAACACCCCACTCACATTGGAAGTAGTGGTGTGTGCCTGTAAAGCTAGCACTCAGGAGACTGAAACAGGAAGGTTGCCATGAGTTAGAGGCTAGCCTAGGTGATGTAGTAAAATTTTGTCTCTAAAAACCAAAACAAGCAAATAAATAAGTAGTGTAAACACCCATTGGTAAATAACCACGCCTGGTCCTGTGGTCTGTACAGGTGGGGACAAGTGGTGGGAGGGCAAGTAGGGGTGGGAAGGGGTTTGGTCTCTAATCTTTGAGCAGTCTTTTGAGCTACACCATGCTACACATGCCATGATGTCTTTTTCTCTGAACCTCAGTTTCCTCTAGACAGTGAGACTGTTTATGACTGAAGGGTCTGGATCCTGGGGAATGAGGATAACTTACTTTGGGTGCCTCCCAAAAATGATCTGAAGATGAAGAGAATCTCATCACCATGGTCAGCCTTCACTTGGGGTGGTTTGGTGTCCTTGAAGAAGTTGGGCCGATGTTGGAACTCATAGAAGTAGACAGGGGCATAGGAACCTGGGAGTAAGGACAGGCTGTGAACGTGAACCCTCACCTGGGGATGTCCTGCCTTATAGGAAAGCTAGGTACAAAGCTGGCTAGAATTTGAACAATGAAATGGAGGCTTCTGGCTCTAGTTGGGGCTGAGGGAGGTCCTTGCTTAGATCATGGCCTTGACCATCTCTGTTGTATGGTCTTGACAGCGTCCGTGTCACTCAGTTTCCTCATCTGTAAAATGTGGAAGACTCCTATGTCTTAGATCAGTCCCAAGGATTTACTGAGATGAGGTCCTACCTGCCACCAGGGGCCCGATATAGGCATGAGTGGTCATCTGAACACCACAGAGCTCAACTGGGATCCACAGCTCTGAACTGCCCTTAGGCATCAGGCCTCAGTTCCGGATGTACTCACGCTGAAATCGTGCTACTTGCAGTGCAGGGATCACAAAGATGAAGTCTGCCATCATCTCCTGGAACTGTGCTTGGAGAATCTGAGGGTCCTCAGTGTCCCCCATGTACTCTTCGATCAACAGGTCACTAAACACAGGAGGCCACCTCTAGCAAGAAGGATCAGGGAGAATCAGATTAGGCAGGTTCTAGGGCATGGAGAAAACAGCCTGAGGATGTAGAGATAAGGCCTGGCATGGGACAAAGCTAAACCAGGAAAGGGCCAGTTTCTGGGCACACCTAACACATAAGCATAGTCATAGTTCTGCTTTTGTTTCTGCAGTAGTCTGCAGGGGAGGGTGTCAGGGGAGCCCTCGGCATTGGTTACAGTACCCAAAGAGCCTCACCATACGTTCTGACCTTCTCTGCAAGACAGCCTGCACAGTCTGTCTGTCCATTTTCTTCCATGAGTCAGCGGTGCTAATGCTCTGAGTGGTAAGAAGAGAGGCTGTGTTGTGGTTGAGATCATATGGAACTTTTGGATAGGCAGCTGAAGACCAAGGGCCTTGGAGCTGATTCTCACCGAGGGGATGATCCAGCCATATTCATCATTGTTGACACCAATGATGCTGGGGACAGGGTGGAGGTTGGCTGAGGCAAGCAGCTCCTTGGGATGCCTGGGCAGGAAGATACCATCTACTATGCCAGGGATGATCTTGAAGGCCTGAAGGGACATTAAGTGTCAGGGAGGAAGATTGGGTTCTTGAAACTTCTGATGCTAAGCTAGTCTCCCACTTCTCTTCGTCTCATCCCAGGATCCTTACACTCATGTTAGGAGAGCCCACACCTGGTTTGCCACATGCTAGACTCCAAATCTCTTCTTGGATTCCAGGTTATGAAGGGTGAAATGAAGTCAATGCCCAGGGGAGTTTGAAGGCCACCTAGGCAGCCGTCTCTATGCCTGTCATCTTCCACACCATACCATTCAGTCCAACCTTGTTAATAGCCAGAATCTCTTCTTCATTCTTGCCTCGCAGACAGCCCACCAAGGCTTCTGAATTCACACCCTGCTCACATCCAGACAGGTTGGCCACCATCTATGAAGGAAAATAGGTAGAGACTGACACATCATTTTAGGAAGGGAGGGGTTATCTCAAGGCCCCAGTGGCTCTAGGTGTCCCCCATATCTCACAAAGTCTACCCACAGATGTGTTGATAATGGCAGGTGTGAAATTGCTCCTGCTTCAAGGCTCAAAGGTGATAGTCAAGAGGAACTGCCACAGTGCCTGACATGCTTTTGTTTATAATGGAACAAACTCTAGGTACAGCTTTATGGAATACTTAACCTGTATGAGGAGACACGGTATAGATTCTCACCCTAGAGTCCTTCAGTAATTCCTGCAAAGCAGGCAGTTGCCTGGGTACCTTGATGGTCATTGTCCACACTGGTCAGACAGAGGACCAGAGGCTCTGAGGGTGAGGGCTGAGACAGCAGGTCAGGGCTAATGTGTTTGAGGGCACTCACTTTGTAGACCTCTTCAGAGGAGTTGGAGATGAGGCTGGGTAACAAGGCCACCCCACTCTGCATGATGGCACCATGGAAGAGTCCTTGGGACAGTGGGGACACCACATGTGAAGATACACTTGTGCCACCTGCTGACTCTCCAAAAATGGTGACCCGGTTAGGGTTTCCTCCAAAGTGGGCAATATTCTGCTGGACCCAGCGTAGGGCGGCCACTTGGTCCAAGTAGCCCCAGTTGCCTCTGGCGTGCTGGTCTCCAGTGCTGAGAAATGGCAGGTACAGGGATCTCAGGGCTGTCCTGGTTTGTTTCAGCCTCCATTGCCCAATCCAGGCACAAACTTACCTGAAGAAGCCCAAGACACCTAGGCGGTACTGTATAGTGACCACCACAACATCCTCAATGGCAGCCAACATGGATCCGTCATATAAGGAAGCCATGCCTATAACCAAGGCACCGCCATGGATCCATACCATCACCTGGAGAATCAAGACATGTGTCATGTATCTTCCATGCCCCCCCTGGCCCCGGGTTCCCCCCTACAGTCAGCATAACCTTTTTCTCTGTGCAGCTGCCAACTTAGACAAATGCCCAACTGGACCTACCAGCATAGCCATGGGTGAGGGATTCAAGTTCACTCATGGATACAAGCCTCCTATATTTGGAGCCTACCCAGTATCAAAGCCTCAATGCATTTTCCCCAGAGGTTTCTATGGGGAAAGAAAAAGGATACTCTCCTTATCATGCCACATAAAAATCAACCCAGTGTTCTAAAATCTCATCAGCTCAATGAAAAATCAATGATTTGGTTTTTGGTGACTGCACACCTGATGGGTCTTCTGGACACAAGTTTGTAGATGGATCAGATTATAAAGAGAGGCTTTTCATCAGCACTCACCGCTGCAGTATGGCCCAGGCTGACTATCCAATATTCCTGGAGGAGAAATGTCCTCCCTCCCCAATTGAGCATGCTGTGACACTCACCGGCAGGTTGGAGCCCTCATGGGCATAAACTGGTGTGTAGATGCTAAGGTACAGGCAGTCCTCAGACATGGGGATGGGCGACAAGGTCAGATTCAACAGCTTAAGAGCCTGGGTATTCATTGCAGTGATGTCCTGAAGACAACTGCTGACCAGCCATGGCAGACAATCAACCCAGTGGCAGAGCAAGGGGACAAAAACAGACTCTTGGCTTAAATGTGTTTCTAGCTGCTCTTAGGCACAGTCCCCTTGATGTCCTGCTCACACATGATCTTTCACTAAGGTTTCTGCTCACTGTGGTACAGACCACAGGCTCTGGGGAAACTGGGATAGAGCCTAGTCCTCTTGTAAGGCCTCAAGGTTTTTTGGTAGCATTGGAATGTACTCCTCCTGAGGGTTGGAAATCATGACTTTTAGGTATCTCTGGCAATCCTTGAAGGTGTTGATATTCAGTATTTCTCACATTGGAGTTCATGAATGAGTGGAGGTTAATTTCCACAGTGCAGTGGACCTTTCTTATTCCAAGTTGGAAGCATATTTTCATTGTTTATCATGAATGTTCACTTGGTGGGATTTCAAATCAGTGCAGAAAAAAAAAATCTCTGGACGTGTCTGTAAGGGAGTTTCTAGATTAGGTTAACTGAGGTGGGAAGAGCCACTTAGAGTAGACAGTACTATTCCATTGGCTGAGGTCCTGAACTAAATAAAAAGCAGAAATTGAACTGAGCATAAGCATTCATACATTCATATCTCTATGTGCTTCCTGACTGTGGGTAGAACGTGCTCAGCGGCTCAAGCTCCTGCTTCTATATGGACTGTACTCCTGAACTGTAAGATAAAACCAACTCTTCCTCCTTAAGTTGTTGTGGTCAGGAATTTTGTCTTGGCAGCAAGAAAAGTAACTAATATAACTACATACTTAATTCTTGTCCAGTGACACTTAGCCCCATCCATGGGTTGGCACAGTGACTGTGGAGGTGGGGCCTGCAAGATACTATCACTTCTGTGCTCTCTAAGAACATAATTTCTATTGTTGATAATCAGGGGCTCTCTGCAGGTTCTGGGAGTCAACCTAAACCAAACCTTCCCCAAACACCCTTCCTTGATGGTAGAGAATACTAGGAATAGCTTGACCTAATGCCACCCAGATGCCTTTTTTTTTTTTTTTTTTTTTTTATTCATCACTTCTTAATAATTCAGCCATATTCTATTACTGTTTGTTCTCCATGCCTCATTTTTATCTTTTTGTGGAATGCCAGCCTGGTGAATGTTGGGCTATAAGACCTTACTTACATTCTATGTCTTTTAACTTTAATATTTTCTGTGAAGTTATCTCTGTACATTAAGGGTTTTTTAAATTTTTTTTTTTTTTTTTGGTATTTTTGAGACAGGGTCTCCCTGTAGCCCCAGCTGGCCTGGAACTCACTATGTAGACCAGGCTGGCTTTGAGCTCACAAAGATCTGTCTGTCTCTGCCTCCTGAGTGCGGGGATTAAAAGCATGTGCTACCATGCCCGGTTCTGGAAAATTTGTTTAACCCTCTTTGTATTAGCGAAGTCTTCCAAAAAACCTTGGGGGAATCCTCCCACACAATGGAAAACTGTTGTGGGGTTGAGATGTAGTCTGGCCAGGGATTTGAGCACCTGCCCACCCCAGGCTGAAGTCCCCAAGGCCCCAGAAGAACTTACATGGCTGGGTGGGAAGTCCCATCTCTTACACCATTCCATGGTTCAGGAGGCTCAGGGGGTGCAAATCGCAGTGGTCCAAGAGGTGGCTTGGCAAAGGGAATTCCCAGGAAGGAGTGTACACCCACATCAATACCCTTCATGTGGATGAGGCTGCCCTGCACCTGCCCTGTGTAGGTGGTCCTGATTGGACTGGATGAGTCCTGGCCTGTTGATGCAGAAGTGATACTAGGATTGGTTCTGCACAATCAGGTGCATCTCCTGGAGGGATCTGCCACCTCCTTATTACTCTCAGCTCAGCCTTTTCCAGGAACCCAGGAAGTTTCACTCACTTCCTGCCTGTCACCCTGGCCTCACATCACCACTGCTCATGATTCTATTGATATGACAGGATCAGAAATAGAGAAACAGATGGGCCTGGTGAGTATATAGGGCTAAGATTTGGGGTTACATTGGGTAAACTCTATATAATGCAAAACCACTGAAGTGAACCCTTAAGTGGACAGGTATGGTATTTGAACAATATCTCAAAAGTCATATTAAAAAAAGGAAACATAGTTATTAATTTCTAATGTATGTACCTTATTGAATCTTGATTTAAAAAACAATTTGCATTATATTACTTCATTTTGAAATAATATAAAATAACATTTAATCCAAGATGAGTATGGTGGCACAGCCTGTAATTCTGGCAGCACTCATGTGCCAGAAGGAGGAGGATAGAGAGTTTGTGGCCACATGGACTATATCCTGAAACTCAGTATCAGCTTTCTTCAAATCCCCTCCACAAAAAGGTTTAGGAGTATGGCTCAGTGGTCCAGGGCTTGCTATTTATACATGAGGTCTTGGATTTGATTCCCAGGATCAGAAAAAGAAAAAAAGCAAAACAAAGCAAAGAAACACAAACAGATACATTTTAGCTAGGCAAGATGGCACATGCCCATAATTCCAGTACTTTGGAGGCTGAATCAGGAAGATTGAAAGTTTGAAAGAGTTCAAGGTGAACCTGAGTTACATAGAGTGACTCTGTCTCAAAACACAAATCAACAACAATAATAAAAAAAACCAAAATTATCTACCTACCTACCTACCATCTATCTATAAATTATCCATCCATCCATCCATCAATCATCTATCTTTTTCTCTTCCTCCTTCCCCATCTTCTTGGTGAAGGTTACCAAATGTGAAGGCTGGAGTTTGCATTAAATAATGGTGTAAAGGGCAGGAAGCAATCCAAGACTCCAGGCTGTGCTTGTTCTGATATTTTGAAAGTAGATTATAGGCACATTTGCTTTATTAACTATTTTCTCTGCTTCTAGGAGGTTCTCGTTCTTCCATTCTGTGTAGGCTTTGGGTAGCCACAGCTCTCTCTGTGCCTCAGGGTATGAGGAGTTATCCAGTGAGGGTGGCTTTCCCTGCTATTGACCTCTCCTAATGCTCCTGCATCTCTGCACCCTCTGTCCAATCTCCTGTCTCACCTCTGTAGAATTGTCAGATATAGACCAAGCTTCATTGAGGAAACAAAGACCTCCGGAAGCGATTGCTGCTCTACCCACTATAGTTCCACATAGATCAACCAGTTTGAAGTCAACTGTTATTGGAAAGGCCAAGCCTGGCAGTTCTACCCATGAGGACCAGAAAGGGCAATTTAGTAAATGTGTCTCTGCCATGGGTTGATGTGGTTTGTTGACCAAAGGTTTATATGCTGGCAACCAGGACCCCAGTATAGCAATGCTGAGGTGTTGGATCTGTAAAGACGTAGCAACTAGTGGACAGGACTAGATCATGGCTGTCTTGAAAAGGGATTTATACTAGTCTTTTGGAATCAGTTCAGTCTCACAAGGTAGATTACTTTCTCTGAGAGTGAGAGCAGATTGTTATCCTAGAGCCAGCTTGGCTTCTTTGCACTCTCTTGCTTGATCCCTCTTCATAACCCCCAACATTGCCTTGTCGTGACATAGCCACAAGGTCCTCACCAGTGGCCCACCAGAGGGAGTTACCCATCATGGATTTTCAGCCTCCAACATTATTAGATAAAGAAGTCATTTTTCTTTATACATTACCCAGTGTTGCCTATTTTGTTATAGCAATCCAAAGCAAACTCAGGCAGAAAGTTTGTACCAAGCATGAGGTTGTTTCTATAATAATAACTGAAGATACAGAAATATCATTGGAACCCTATAGTGGCCATAGATTGGAAAGGTTTGGAAGACCAGCCTAGAAAAGTCCTATATTGCTGTAAATGGAGCATTAGAAGTGATTCTGTTGAGGGCTCAGATGACAAAAGACCAGGGAGGAGCTCAAATTTCATAGAGATATCTTCCACGGTCACGACCAGAATGCTGAGAGCAATGCAGATTGTAAAGGCCATATTAAGGAATTCTCAGACGGAAGTGAGAGCTATCCCATTGGAAAGCAGAATAAAGGCCGCTTGTGTCACATCATTACAGAGAAGTTGGCTACATTGTAGTCATACCCTAAAGCTCTGGAAGGCCAAATTTCAGAGCGATGACCAAGAGTATCTGGAGAAAGACATTTCTAATCAAAATATAGAGGAAACCGTGAATTTTGGGCCATATTTAGTGAAATTCACAATAATAATTCCCTGTAAAGGGAAACAGAGAATTCGAGAAATTCACATAATGTCCACTTAAAGAACAAAACAGGACTTGAATATGAAGGTACAAAACAAATGCTTGGATAGAAGGAAGTCAGAGGACTACATCAGTGGGAAAGGACCCCTCATGGCATCATAGAAACCTTCCAGCTCGCCCACCCCGCTTCCTCCCACCGTCATCAGCACAGAGGCTTTGGAAGGCAGATGGGTTCAGAAAATGGGCCTAGAGTTCACTGTCCAGGGAGGCCTTGGGATTCAGTTCCTTGTTTTCTAGTATAATAATATATGACTGCTCTAGCCATGGTTGAGGAATCCCAGGCATGGCTCCTCTCACTGCTCCAAGTGAGTTAGCAGCAGTTGAGGTTTCTATGGTACTAATTTGGTGGGCAGAGAATCCAGGGCCTATCAGGACATAGCAGATTCCACTGAGATTTGAAAGGAAAGTCTAGGAGGCTTTGCTGCTGGGGTGGAACCACTCCAATATTTTCCACTAGAATGCCTTGTGAGGCTCTGAGAGTGAGACCGTAGAACTCCAGAATTGTACAGATGCAAGCAGTAGGCAACAGTGGCCTAGAAAGCCACAGGCAACAGCATACAACCTGAGAGAGCAGCCAGGAGGGCTACAACCAACAATGTCACAGGGATGAGGCTACCTGAGGCCTTGAAGGTCATGGCCCACTGCCATGAGCACAGGATGCTGCCCTTGGAGTTTGAGAGTCTGTCTCCCCTGCTTGGTGAAGTTGCTGGGCCCTGTTACCCTTTTCTACTAGCTCATCCTTTTTGGAATGGGAATGCTTACTCTGTGCCTGTTTCAACATTAATTCTTTGATTTAAAAAAAAATCTTTTGGTCTTTTTTGAGACAGGGTCCCCCTCTAGCCCCAGCTGGCCTGGAACTCGCTATGTAGACCAGGCTGGCATTGAATTCACAGAGCTCAGCCTGTCTCTGCTTCCCAAGTGCTGGGATTAAAGGAGTGTGTCACCATGCCTGGCTCAACATTAATTCTTAAAACCATCTAACTTGTTTTTATTCTAAGGGCTTTCAGCTGGAAGAAATTTGCCTTGAGTTTTAGATGGGACTTGGGACTCTGGACTTTTGAATCACACCCAAAGGGACCGAAAGTGTGAGATGAATATATTTTCGCATTTTTGAGAAGGATGTGAACCTAGGGGCTGGGACAGAATGCTGTAATTTGGTTATGGTTTGTCCCCGCAAGGCTCACATATTGGTTACTCTGCAGTGCACTGCTGTTGAGGTGGTGGAGCCTTTAAGAAGCAGGGTCTAATGGGAAGTGAGTACATCATGGAAGCCCTCATACAGGGACTTCTACTGGACTTTCAGAATGGGTTAGGTCTTGAAGTGAGAGTAGACTGTCACACTATGGTGACTCTGGCCACTCCTGGCATACTGCTTCCTCTTTCGCCATGTGCCATGTAATCTCTCTCCCACATGCTGTTGCTATGAAAAGCCACTGCCATGCTGTAACCTAGCTAGAAGGCTCTCACCAGAAGCCACGACAGTGGGCTACATGATCACGAATTTTCAGACTCTAAATTTTGAACTAAACAAACTCATTTTCTTTCATCATTACATGGATTTGGGTTTTTTAACACAGCAATCCAATCACTAAAATGCTCCAAGCCCAAAGACGCATTCTTATTCCCAGTCACATGTTGCATACACACAATCTCTGATGGAATGAAATTTCTATTGATGTAATTTCACTTTAATCACCAGCTACTGAGGCACCATGCTTATGTTTGTTATAGAAGTGGACAAAAGTCTGCTATAATGTCCACGATTATAGATTTGTTGCATCAACAGTGATTTATCTTGGAAGTAAAGCCCTTCCATTGAATGGTATGAGGAAGCTCCAGTATGTGGCCCAGTAACCTTGAGAGTTCCTGTGGAGGAGTCAAGACTGAGTGACACAGGAGAGAATGGGATCTACATTTGTATTTTCCTATGACTTGTTAATGATTCTTTCTAACATGTGATCAAGCCAAGCATTTTTTAAAATGGCAGCCATCAGTGAGGCTAAGCAGATCTCTTGCTTGGAAGGTCCTGATGATTTCTGGGAGCAAGGTCAAATCAGGTAAGGAAGAAAGGTTCTTGGAGGTGAGGTATGAAGGAGAGGTGAGTGGGCTTTCTCCTGGGCAGACTGGGAAAGGGTGGCAAGAATTAGGGCCTAGAGGTGGGGCCTTTCAGAGGAGAGGAATGAGGGCTGTGGACATGCCCAGGCATTCTGTCCCGCTAACTCCTAATAAGGTGGAGACTGCTTAGCAGGCACAGAGTGCCATCAACTTCCTCTGGAAGCTGAGTCATGCCATTGCCTCAGGCCAGGTACATGATGTAAGAGGCATCCAATGGCCTCTCAGATCTGATTTCAGATGCAGCACTGGAGGCCCTGTATTTCCAAGTGTAAGTAGCCTTGTCTGAGCCTCTTGGAGAAGGCCAGGCCACACCTCTGGTCAAAGGAATGATACATCTGACTCAAATGGCCATGGAATATTACCATGTTAGTTACCACCTGCTACAGCCCCCACTGTAGCCACAAACCCAGGAGGAATTGTCCTGACTCTCCATCCCCAGTCTGCTGTCCAACCCTGTTCATTTGCTTTTCCTCAGAATTCCCTCTTCCTCAACTCATTCCTTGAGGATGGGTGTCCTCAGGTAGCCCCTGTGCTCTCTGGCTTCAGGGGGCCCACCCTGAACTCGTGGGGATTGCCACATGTGTGCAGAGTTCCAGGACAATGAACTCTACCATTTCAACCCTTCCTTGCCCATTTCCTCCCCCAGTCTCCATTCTGCCTTCTGCACAGTTTAGAAGCTCTGACATAGTTCCCTGTCACCCTCATGGGAACCTCACCCTGGACCTGGATGAGGAGAGGCAGGAGCCCACAGACAGTGGTCAGCCAAGCTTGAATTTGTTCCAGTCCCATTGTGGCTCAGAGGTATGTGTCTGAGCTGCTGCAGGACAGGCAGGCAGCTGAAGACCAGGCTGGAGTTTGGACCCAGCAGAAAGTGGGTGGAATTTGGGGTGGGGCCTGGCAGTGCCGGTGCTGCAGGAGAAAACACTGAGCAAGCAGGGGTTGTGAGGAGCCAGAAATCAGCAAGTGGAACATGACCACCCCCTCCAACCCCCACCGCTTCCTGTGATTCTTTTGGTCTCCTCTGGAAGTACCCTGAGGTTTCTGCATCCTCTGAAATATAGGGACCTGAGACTGAAATCTGCAGTCACAAAATTCACTGACATTACAATCACAGTCCAAAGAGGGGCATCTGGGATGAAAAGATAGAACAGAAAACTCTAACTGGAAAAGACAGAAGGGCTTCTCTGAAGAGCATCCCCTCAGAACCCCCGCTTTAGAGAGTGCGATTGGCCTATAGTGGAATGATGCGAACCGTGAGAGCAAATGTAGGGCACCATGACAGTACCCTTAATCCTGAAAATCCTCCGTTTTCAGGTCTCATGATTTACTGGGCTCCCCTTTCAGGTTCCCCATTCCTTATAGATATTGTCTGAAGATATACATGGATGACGGTCTCAGGAACATTTCTGTATATTTGTCTGTCACACACATATGTACCTATGTAAATACGTGCACATACACACATTTATACAAATATATTCTGAAATGAAGGAGCAACTCTGGAGCATTTCTGTGTATTGGGGAGGGTGATGGAAAATGTACATACACAAAAATCTACGGGGCCATTGAGCGAAACAAACAGAGCCAGAGAAAAAAGGAAACATACAGAGTGTAGAAAGGCAGCTAAAGACAGAAAGGAAGATGGAAATAGAGGTTAAGGGTCTAGGGAGAGGGCTGTCTAGATGGCTCAGTAAGTAAGGTGACTGCTACCAAGGCTGATGACCTGAGTTCGATTCCCAGGATCCACATGGTGGGAGGAGAGAAGTGGATCCTGAAAGTTTTCCTCTGCTCTCCACCCATGACATGTGCATACACACAAACAGAAACACACACAGATATACACACAGACACAGACACATTCACTAGATAGATTTAAAAAAGGTCTAGAGAGAGAGGGCATTTTGGCTAATACAAGTAATCTCAGAACCTGGGAGGTTGAGGCAGGTGGATCTTGACTTTGATTACAGCATGGGTTACACAGGAAGACCCTGTGTCAAGAAACAGAAAATAAATAAAATACAGCAAAAGCTAAAATAAAAGTTAAGTATCTTCAGTAAGACATACTATACACCCATTCAATGTGACCATTTTGAAGACCCATAACCAAAAGTGCTGGCATACATCTAGAGCCACAGAGACCCTCAGACAAGACTAGAGGACATGGAAATGAAGCCGTTTTGAAGAAAGTGAGGCATTGTCTTTAAAAGTTAAACGTTCACACTTGTCACAAGACTCAGCAAATCCATATGTATCTTTTCCCAAGAAAATCGAAAGCATGTTATCACACAAAGTTATGTTTGAAAATGTCCATAACAGTTTGATTAAAAATAGCCTTGTAGAGGGCTGGAGAGATGGTTCAGTAGTTAAGAGCACTGACTGCTCTTGCAAAGGATCTGGGTTGGATTCCTGGCACCCACATGGTGGCTAATAACCATCTGCAATTCCAGTTCCAGGGGATCCGAAGCCCTCTACGTAGGCATTACATGCATGGATACACTTATATAATGTAGGAAAAACACTTATACACATAAAAATAGATGAAAAAATAGCCCAGTGGTGCATGCCTGAAATACCAGCACTCCAGAGGCTGAAGTAGGAGGATGGTGACTGTGGCCCTAGCCCAGCCTGCATAGTAAGACCCTGTCTCAAAATACCCCTTTGCTACCTAGAGATAGCCTTAAAATGGAAGTCCCTGAGATGTTCAACTACTGAGTGGTAAGGTGTATTGGGAGCATACATGGAATGATGCTCTGCAATAAAAGGGAAGAAGTACTGTTTGAATCTCAAAGACATTGTGCTTAGTGATAGCTAGTCATAAATGATTCCTTTTATATATAATATGATAGAAAGAGCTACAATGTTTCCAAACAATATACAGTTTGCAAACTAGAACAATGGAAAGCAGTACATGAGGGCATGAAGGAACTTTTGGGGTGAAAAATTCTAATACTTGAAGTGGGAGAGTGGGTGATTGTGTCACACATTTACTCAGAGTTACCAAACTATGAGGCTAAAACAGATGGCTTCAATTGTCTGTAAATTATTCCACAGTAAGACTCTCCAAAAATAAAATCACTACTATATTAGTTCTTGTTGCTGTCACAAAACACCTGACAGAAGAACTAAAGGGAGAGTGTTTCAGAGGGTCTCAGCATATCATGGTGGGGAAGGCTTGACAGCAAGAGCTTGTGGTAGGGGCTGCTCATATGGCACAGACTAAGAAATATCAACCCAAGAGTCAGGGGCTGTTATAACCTTCAAAAGCCCACCCCTACTGACTAACTTTCACCAATAAGAAACCATCTTGCAAAGGCTCCAGAGCTTTTAAAGTAGCTCACCAGCTGGGGACCAAATGTCCAAAACATGAACCTGGGAGGTACATATGGCATTACTACATCAACATCATAATTGAATATTTGGGTATTTCATATAGAACATCTTAATCATTCTTAATCATTTTTATAACCCCTCCCCATTGGTACCCTCCCATAGCTCCCCCACCCCACTGGAATTCATACATCTGTCATTTGTGTTAAGGCCCATTGTGTCAAGTTACTGTCCCTAGACATCCCTCAGTGCAAATTCATCCACTGGGGTCTAGGCAGAGGAAGATCAGCTCTTCCTCACCCAGCAGTAATCAGCTGCCAGTAACTCTTTGACTAAGATTGGGCTTGTTGCCCATTTCCACAGTTCTGTGCTGGGGTTTTGTCTGCTTGGGTTTGCATAGGTCTTGTGCATGCTGACACCATTGCTGTAGGTTCATATGAGCAAAGTCCCAGGAACTTCTAGGACTAATTTCCATATTGTTGTGTACCTCCTCCCTGGCACTTACAATCTTTCCACCCTCTCTTTCACAGTGGTCCCTGAGCTTTGGGTGGGCAGAGTTACACAAGAATCCTGTCTAAAGACCCACACTCTGCAGACTCTTACTCTCCTTACTTTGGCCATTTTTTTACCTTTTGTGTTCCTGGCCCTCTGTTGCATGAAGGAGTTTCATTGATGAGAATGGAGAGATGCATTGGTGTTCTCTTCATCCCTTGTTCTATGTTCCATAAACATTAGGTGTAGAGGTTGCATTGTAGATGTGCCACTTAGGAAAAAGCCTAACTCTTCCATTTAATTTGTAGGAGTAGGCCTGAACTCAGAGGATACTTATTCCTTAGCTATCTCTTGGAACTGTCTGTCTCCTGGAACTATGCTGATGGAACTGTCTTGTTGGAACTCTGTCTCTGGAACTGTATCCCAAGCCTGCCCCCCCCATAATTTTATTCAAAATGTTTTCTCCAGCTTTAATTGGGGAAGTACAAGCTTTCTGCCACCCTAATCTTAACAGATTTTTATGCCTGTTTTTTTTTTTGAAAAAAAAGAATTAAAAAATTGAGTTATGGACAGTTGTTAATTGCCATGTGGGTGCTGGGAATTGAACCTGGGACCTCTGCAAGAGCAGTCAGTGCTCTTAACTGCTGAGCCATCTCTTTAGCTGTACCCCCCCTTTTTTAAAAAAGAGTTTTTAAAAAAGAATATTTATGACATATCTGGAATAAGAAAGCATCTAAACATACCCCTCCTCACCCCAGCTCTTCAGATACAATTAACTAAATGAATGGCAGTTTGTGTCCATGACAACAACCCATTCATTAGATAAGGAACAGTTTAAGATCTCAGCCTATGACATCCACACAGAGCAAGATGATGCATAAAGATCTTCCATATACACTGTCACATTCATCTCTACATGAAACCAGTCTGAGGATGAAGAAGTGCTGTTGCAGCACTACAGCACGACCAAGTTCCTCCAGGTGAGCCAGGGAACTCATGCCTAGACCTTGGAAGAACTTCACTACCACTGGAGAAACAGCTGGAATCACGTAGTGGAGACATCTTTTATTTGCATATTGATATTTTTAGTGGAAGAAAGTTCTTCTTTAAAAAAATTTATCAGAGAATCGAGACAAGAAGCAACCCAATTATAAGATGGGCTAAGGAGCTGAACAGAGTTCTCAAAAGAAGAAGTAAAGATGGCTATGAAACATCTTAAAAGATGTTCAACATCACTAATAATCAGGGAAATGCAAAT